CCCCCCCCCCCCCACCACCACCACCCCGAGGTGCAGCCACGTGCCCCCCCCCCAAGCCTTTCACCCCTCCCCGAACGTTTTTTTCTTCTCTGTCGTGTTGCCTATTTTGTTCGGTTTTGCTTTTGCAGCGGAGAAGCCATACACGGTGCTGTTCCATGGGAGGAGGCTGGGTATTCAACTTCGAGAGATGCACAAGATTCCTATCGTTGGAGGCCTGCAGGGGTATGACCCTGATGGGACTCAGGACAGCAGAGGGGAAGATGGGGAGGTGCGAGGCATGTCGTCTTTTGCTGTTGTGTTGCTTGTTGTTGTTGTTGTCGTTGGTAGCTGTGTCGATCGCGGCAGCTGTGTGGCTTGGCTGCTGGCGGGCTTGGTGCTGAAGCCAAGTGCTTCCAATTCTTCACACCTCTCTCGGAAGATCGTATTTTTTTTGGATTGCCCCCGATTGTGCGCCATGCCCTGCTGCCCTCCGGTTGGATAGCGGGCTTGATACTCACGACCAGCAATACGACACACCCACGACACTGTTGTGGGCTCTTGGTGGAGGTTTCGAGAGGGTCTAACGCCTCGCGCTCCCGCCGCTCTTTTTTTTTTTTTCTGTTTGTTGCTTGTCCGCTGGGTGGCCTGCGGCTGACGACCGTGGTGATGGTTTGATGTCTGGTTCGGACAGGACGATGATGGCTCCGAGGAGGAGATAGATGGACTGCCGGTCGAGGTACGACTGGTCAGAGTGTTTACCGTCGTTGCTGCTGCTGCTGCTGCTGCTGCTGTTGTTGTTGTCCTCGTCGTTGTTGTAGTAGCTGTTGCTGTGCTGCTGCTTGTGTTGTTGTTGCTGTTGTTGCTGTTCCTGCACCCAAAACACAAGTCAGTACACAGATTTCTGGCTTCACTGGATAAAGGCCTCAGAACCCAGCGTAAAAAACACACACATACGTTCTGTTGTTGGTACCGCCCGGAGCCACCCAAGTTCCGTTTCGGGCTATTTCGAGGCGCTCGCCTAATATCTACTCCGATGCCCATGCTCTCGCCCAGGTGTCCCCCGAACCCAGCGCCTTCGACGAGCTATCTCTAGCCCGCCTTGGCACGCTGGGTGGTGGCAGCGCCGCCGGGAGGGGGGCCGACGACCTGCAGACCATCTACGGTGGGAGCGGCGGGGCCGGGGGCGGCATGGGTACGGAGACGTCGTCTATGATGGACAGCCAGTCGGACTATGATGTCACCGTGAAGTGCATCGTGCAGTGCTCCCAGCTCTTCGGAGAAGGGGTGAGAGTCGGTCGGGGGCCTTTGTTTGGTCTGTCGGTGTTTCCGGTCGGTCTGATGTTCCGGTTGATATTTGGTGAGAGTCCCTAGGGTGTGTGTCTTTTCATCGGTCTGTTGGTCTTGTCGACCGGTCTGTTGGTCTGTCGACCGGTCTGTTGGTCTATCCGTCGGGCTGTCGACCGGCCGATGCGCCGGTCCTTGTCTTCACAAGTATTTGCAGTAGTCTTTTTTTTTATGCTCGGACTGTGACTCTTTTTTTCAATTCAATCACCATTCCACGGTGTATACCCACGGAATGGCTATGATGTTCAGGTCAAGAAGCTGTGGAGATGGAAGCCAGCCCCTGCGGCATCAAACGATGACGCCGCGGACCCAAGCGTCGCCGTGAGCGCCTTCATGAAAGGCCTCAGCGTGCGGTTAGGCCTGGGGGAAGACAACCCTGGCGTCCGAGTCAGGTGCGAAAAAACTCAACAACAGGGGGGTTAGCTGGCTCAGAGGTCCACCTGGATGACGAGAGCGTTTGATTTATGAAGGAAGGCTTTGGGAGTGTTTTTGTGATGCGGTTGAGGACACCGGAGTAGGGCCGGCGCTTGAAGTAGCGTTCTGCTCGAGGTCATCCACTTCCACATCTACAGCAGTATTCAGCACTGCTGTAGCTGTGTTATGTACACGTTATTCCCCCGTCCTGTCTGAGGGAGATGTGTGCAGGGCGGGGACTCCACTCCCAGCACCCATTGCCGTGTTCATCGAGGCGAGGTTGTCTTCGAGCCCAGAGCACAAACAATCTGATGTGATTCTGCGTCACCCCTCCCCTCTCCTCATTTGTTCTTTCAGCTATCTTGACATGGAGGTTGGAGACGGGGAAGGAGAGTACGTGTCCCTGGACGTGGAGGCATGGGGCGATTTCTTGGAGAGCCGTTTCAAGCGACTTCTGGTCACGGTAGACCCGCCAGAACCCGGTTCGTGATGCTAATACTAGATGCGTGTGGTGTTTGTGTTGTGACGGTGTTGTGACGTGAAAACAGATTTTTTGTGGTGTGTGGTATGGCGTGGTTTGAAGTTGTGAGGTGTACTGCCGTGACGGAGTGTCGTGTTGCATGTTCCATTGCTGGGAAAGAAAGAGCAAGCGCCCTAGGGTCGAGAGTGTGCAGGCGTCCTTGGCTTTCTTCCAGCAACAGCGAGCGTCACAGCCACGACACCTGAGGGATAGAAACGGCACCTGTCGTATCGCCGACGTCACAGATACAAGACCGAGTTTCTTGCCGAACGTCTCCCCGAGCAAAACCTCGCGGAAAAAACACGGTGTTGAGAGTTCTACAAGTATGCCCTTGGGGATCGCTGTACCATGCTCGACCACTCACCATCGCTGTATCTAGGGATATGGGGAGAGTAGAGAGTGTAGGACCTTTTTTTTTCCCCGCGTGCGGTCATGTTTTTTTACGCACTTTTTTGCGCCAATGAGTCTCAGCGCGAACAACTAGAGATAAGCAGTATAATGCTACAGTATTCACCACGCAGTAGGGTGGGCCCTGGCATCTATTACCCGCGGCAACGTCGGTGAGCGGAAAAGATGTGTTTCGCTCCCGCCGATATGCCCACGCTAATCCTCCATGGCGTACTGAACACTCCGAGATCCCTATACATCCTTGCAGGCAGCAGGGTTGACGCGCACGTAAACGGAGCAGCCACAGCTTGAAGCATGAGCGCACATGTGGGGGAAAGGAAACTCGATGGCTGCCTTCGATTTTCCATCAAGGGCGCCATCGAATATAGTGTAATAGTGCTACTTCCCTCCCGAGGCATTTTTGGCCACCGTGCCACACGTTTTTTACTCATGTAACGGCTGTATCACGCTCTTGTACGGCGGCGTTTGCTTGTCGTTGCCGCTCCGCAGGGCAACGCGCCGATGCTCGAGGCGGACAGCGACCTCCGGAAGACGGCGAGGCAACCTCTCAGGGGAAGGAAGGCAAGGGATCGGCGGGATCGGCCCAAGAACCGGTCCTGGGAAAGGGCCCGGAGTCGAGCTCCGGGGCGGCGGGAGACGATGCCGCCGGCGAGAAGGAGGGAGACAACCAGGGCAGCGAGAAGGGCAAAGGCGATGATGGGGTGGAGATCTCATCGTCGTCTTCGGATGCGTCTTCTTTGGCTCTTGGGGCAAAGCCTGCAGTTCAAGCAGCAGCAGGGGCTGGGCCAGGGAGAGACAAGCGTGGCAGGGACATAGTGGTGGTGGAGCTGGGAGCCGAGACGGAGGAAGAGGGGGACGGCAGCAGAATGGAAAGCGGCGATACGGGAGCGACGGAGGAAGAGGAGGCGGCGGGAGAAGGAAGTGGAGAAGAGGCACAAGAGAAGGAGGAGAAGGAGGAGAAGGAGGAGAAGGAGGAGGAGGAGGAGGAGGAGGAGAAGGAGGCAGGGCCGAAGAAGGTTGTCGAGGGGAAGAAACCGGGTAGCATCACCGCCAAGATGCAGGTCTTGAGGGGGAGGTTGAACCGCATGGCCGTGCCCTCCAACTTCCGCCTGTTCGACGAGCACTCCACGTCCCCGACCAGCGCCGACGCCACGGAGGAGGGGGAGCAGACAAGCCCGAAGGAGGGGGGTATGGGCGGGGCAGATGGTGACTCTGCGGGGCCGCGGGAGAGAGGACCGCGCGGAGGTCATGGGTCGAAGCATGGCGGTATTGGCTGGGGTGCCGATGAGGACGAGGAGTTGGACGGGAGCGGGAAGGGGCGCGCCGGTGGTAAGGGCGAAGGGGGGCCCGCGGATGAGGACGCTGAGGAGGGCTATACCGCAGGTGCGTCAGAGGGGTGCGTCTCTGGGTGGGGCTAGAGACATTTTTAGTAACGGGCCAATCACTGCTCTCTGGAATACCATGTGTTCCGAACTTTTCACCCACATTTTTCCTCGTGGAGAATCTCACCGAATAAGATTGGTTCCCATCTCCACCCCACCCCCCCAAGCAAACCAACACAGCAATTTGTTGGAAAACGTACAGAGAGTAAAACGTACAGAGCTCCTCAATTGGAGGTGCCTCTAGTTTTAGCGGCATCGTTTCTCTGTCTCGTAAGACATACGTGGGTCAGTGGCCAAGTGCCTGACAATGCAAGCACAAAGTGAGTATGTGCGTACCCTCTGCCCCCACACGGTTTAACTGCAGAGCTGTCTGCGAGGTCTACCGGAACGGGCAGCACGGTCGGCAAGCCCAAGGTGGCGCGAAGACCGTGTGTGGGATCGGTCCTCGTCTCGGTCAACGGCGTTCGCACTCAAGGGCTGTCCTTCGCCAACGTGGTGCAGCTCCTCAACACCCGGGAGAGGCCCATGGCCCTGGAGTACGTGGACTCGTGGGACACCATATTCCATCAACATCACATGGAAACCCAGGTATAGGTGTACCATGTGGTTGTACCGTGGTACATACCACCAAATTCCATGCTTTTGGACCAGGGCGGTTTTCGCGTATTGTTTGCACGTTTCGTGTCTGAAAAACCGGTCAGACTCCTACCGGTGGGTTTTTGTACTGTTAATTTTATTTCTGCCGGAAGCGTCTACCACACAGTCATCCCGTCCCATCAGCATCGCACGAAGGACCCAGGTCATTTGTGTGGGTTGGGGTGGCAGCTCTGCCGTGTAGGCCGTTGGTGTTCTCGCTCTCGAGAAACCTCCTTCTTGCTGAATTACTTTTTTTGATTTTCTCTCTTTGTTTTTTAAGGTTCGGGAAAAGATCTCTCGTGAGACGTTCGAGCAAAAGCTTCTACACCCCCTGGCGGGAAAGCTGAGGAAGCAGGTGGAGGAGTGGATGTCGGCGTTCCGCGAACAGGACCTACGGGCCATGGTTGCCGAACCACAGGCGAGATGCGAAAATTTAGAGTATGTATCGTATTTTTTGTCTGTTTTCGCCTTTTTTCAACTTGTGTTGTTCTGTTGTGGTGTCGTCGCTCGCCGTCTGTGTGTTTGTTCATCCCTTTTCTGTGCTTGTGCTGTTGGAGGAAACGCATGTCAGCGATTCGGGAGGAGAGGCGTGGTATTTGAGAGATTGTTGGGCGTTACAATTCCCACTGTTCTTTTGCTCGCCCAGTCTGTCGACATTGATAAGCAAGAGCAGGAGACTAAGGAGCGCTGAGGTTCGGCGGTCCCTTCATTGTTCTTGTCCAAACTACCGTGAGTTGTTTGAGCTGGTTGTGCAATTAGAAACGCAGTCACAAAATCGTCAAGGCAACGCGTCATTCGTTCATATATGTTGTCATGCCGTGCGTGCGTCCTTTGTTTTCTCATTGGCAGACCGGAAGCGAGCAGCAAGATCAGGGCGCGGACGCTCAGGGGCCGGCGGTGATGCTGTGGTCTCTCATTCGTTGGCTGGAGCAGGAGTTGCCTGACGTAAGAAGAACTGCCATGGTTCTTGACAAGTACAAAAACGACCTCTACGCGCACTCAAAGTTGTCACAAGGCAGCACAGTTTGCGATATGGCGTGTTGTGTTCACATCGTTTGTTAGTTGTTTTTTCGAGAGAGACACGTGATACTATTTCAGGGACCACGTATATTCGCCAGCGCTGGCGACCTGTTTGCACTCGCCGGCACAACAGTTTTTTAGGATATGGTTGGAGGTAGACACGAAACCATGGCTACTAACGAAACTACTAGCAGGTTTCCAGCCCTCAGGCTACACCATGGTGATATTCTCTGTTTTTATCTAAATTTCCACTTTTTGTTGATTTCAGGTTGGTATCTTCATCCCTTCTCTCCTTTGATCTATGTTCCGTTGCGTTGGTTCCAGGTTGGTATTTTCAACAACAATCACCGCGCGGGTGGCGGGCTGCCGGCGATGGGAGAGCTGCAGTGGACGGACGTGAAGCAGCATCTCGAGAGACACATCTTCGAACAGGCAAGCGGCGAGCAACGACAAGGCTGAAAGTAAACGAAAATTCGTAAATATCGTAGATCCGATAGCAGGACAACAAGGCTCATCTCATAGAATCTGCGTGTACACACGCAGGTCGTCGTAGATACCGTATGTCACAGCAGGCAAAGGCTCTTGGTACATCGAGCAGGTTCACCGTAGCCACAAGGCTCGACGGAGATTACGTAGATCTGCAGCAGGTACAAGAGGGATCCATATGAAGCAACACCTCCTTGGTTGCAGCGCAGTCATGACGTCGAGCATCAGGCGAGGGTCCTTCAACTTCTCTTGCACAGGACCTGACGGGGGTGCTTCAGTTTGCGCAACCAAGTGAGGCGTAATGTTGCTGTCTTCGTCTCCGTTGTGGTTGTCTATGTTGTTGTTGTTGTTGTTGTTGTTGCTCCCGACGATATAGAGTCGTGTTCGAGACGACCACAAGACATGGAGAAGCTCACTGCGAAAGCCAGACGACCAAGCCCCTGTGTACGGTATCAGCGTAGGGTGGGCCGAGAGGCAAGCACCACAAGCCAGCAGGATGAAGCGCGATCGGTGTCGACCCCCCATTCTCCCGACCATCTTCCTGTCCCGCAGACCCCCCGACCCCCTCGATGGTCTAACAAGTAAGGCATGGCAGGCACAACATGAGTACGCCCCCCCTCCCGCGGACCGTAGTACCCGCTATCTAATGATGCACGTCTCCCCTTCCGTTCTTTTAGGTGTTCGACCGCTGCTTGACGTCCGCACCAGTCTACGGCCGCGGTGACGAGGAATTGGCCGCTAAGTTGGCGTCTCTCCGGTTCCTGCGCCCTCGGCATTGGTGTGTGGACTCTCTCAAAGACACAGGTGGGGGGTTGCGGCTAAGTTGTCATCTCTGCTCCGTCTATTCTGGTCGCCGGTGTACACGGCGGGGTACATACGTGTTTTGGCGTATTCTGGCCGAGTTCACACAGGAGGAAGATGAACACAGATGCTTTTAGTTCTGTTCACCTCTCTCCCTCTTGCCATGCGTACCTTCAGTTTTTTAACGAGACAAGGGTTCATCCAGCATTTAAGCCGTTCCCTCTTTTGGTGTGCTTTTCACGGTTTCACGAGTGGGTCCGCTTTCTATCTCTAGATTGCGATTTGCCACTCTACAGAGGTTCATTCGAACCCGTGGTCTACTTGTAGGGAGTCAGAAGGTTCTGACGAGAACCCGAACAATCGGGGTGGCCGGCTATCGTGTGCGGAAAATTTCTGCCACCCACGTTTCCTTTGACGTGTAGAGGCAGCAGCTCACTGCCTACACACACCATCCGCGCCCACCTATGCACGCAAGGCAAACACGTTTCGCCGCCAAAAGAAAGAAGGGAAGAAAGGTTAAAGATAATATCCTTCCTGCGTAGCCCTACCCCTGGGTTACCCAGGCTGATTTGTCCGAAAAGCATGCCTTGGATGGTGTACAAATTGAGGCCCAATATGGATGAGACGAAAAATATTTTAACCTTGACAATGCACAGATGCCGAGTCCGCTGGTTCTTACGGGAGAGAGTGGGAACTGGCCCAGGGGGAGCTGTGTCGGCTGGTAGAGTACCGGTGCCCTTTGGACATGCTGGACTGCGTCAAGGCGTGCGTCAAGCTCGTCGCGCTTAGCGTGGAAGCTTCACTTGTAAAGAGGTATGCTGGTGTATGTGTTTATTGCGTAGTTTATCGTTCTATCAATCGCGCTAACCGGCTGCTGACCGATGAAAACCCGTCGTCTCGGTGAGGCAATAATGCGAAAAGCTTTGAATGGCCACGACCCCGCTATTCTCCGGATTGAAAGCGGAAAAGGTAGCGCAGATGAAGCATGTACCTGTTTTTTTTTTTTTCTTGCTCCGTATCGTCGCCATCTTCCCAAACCGAGAAACTAGCACTTTTTGTGTACCTCCCTCCCGAACAGGCAGCGAGAACTAGACCCGTCCTCAAGGTCGGGAGGGTTGAAACCTGTGGCGTTTGGCGCCGACGACATACTACCCGCCCTCACCTGGGTCGTCGTTCAGGTACATTCATGCTACAACATACCAGTACCTTTAGGTTTCCAATCGACGGGCATTAGCTCTGGACCCTGTTGGGGGGGAGGGGATGGGGCGTCATTTTGGGGGTGGTGTTTGGCCACGGGACTTCGTTCGTTTCGCTTGCCGCGGCATTTTCTGCCGCGGGGGTGCTGTATAGAGACGTCAACCTGTCGGTGGTGTATGTACTGTGCTTGCTCGATAGAGACAGCAGCGCATTGCCGGATATGCTGTCGATTACCGCCCATCCACCATCAACAGCGAAACGCTTCTTGACGACATCCTGTCTACTCCCCAGGGCTGGGTACTATCACGCCTTCCTTGCACCGCCCGGGGTTGACATTGGTTCCTCCCCGCCTAAATAGTGAGACGCACGCCGCCTGTGAAGGTTGTTCAAACTTTTGTTTTTGCTCTGGTGTCGTTGTCTTTTTTTGTTCTTTCCCCTAGTCAAACCCTCCCCGTCTGGCGTCGCGGCTGTGGTTCACCCACTACTACATGCGAGCGGGCGCGGAGGGCATGGGGGAGGGTGCCTACTGCTTGACGCAGCTTGCGAGCGCGCTGGAGTTCGCCAGACATGCCGACGCTTCGGTGTTGGCGGACATCTCGGAGGATGAGCTGAACGAGGTGTGGTGTAGGCCTGCTGCTGCCGTTGATTGCTGTTGTTGATGCTACTGCTGCTGCTGCTGCTGCTGTGGGGTTGAGTCTTGCGTAATTATTGTGGTTCTTGTCATTGTCGTCACAGTGGATGATGCAGTAGTCCTTGAGTAAGCCCCGCTCAGACCTCTGCGCCAAGAGATTCGTTGCCCTGGCATTAAGTCGGCCGACAGCATTCATTGGCAACAGTACCCCCACCTGCGGTGAACGAACGTTTCGATGTGAACATCATGCTGAATAGTCTTAACTATTTATTCGTTTTCGCAAGAAGGGCATGAATGCGTCTCTTCCTCCGAGTACACGCGTCGCTCTCAACCCTGCTCACGTCAAAATTGCTGCGCCCGCTGTAGCCGTGTCGTGAATGTCCATATCTGTGCCAACGCGATAGGTCGAGTATATCACATGAGCGGCCAGTAAATTCACATGTTGTTGTTGTTGTTGTTGTTGTTGTTGTTGTTGTTGTCTTCACATAAAAAAAATCACACGGCTGCAGAATATTCGAACCTTGTTGATATTTTCTGCGCTTCTGGATCCGGCCGGTTGGGTTGATTCACGGTCTCGTTATTTCTCGGCAGTTTGTTCCATCACTCCGTAGCTTGCCTTAGAAAAGCTGTATGTTTTCGACGTTCGTTCCCATTCCTCGCGGCTTGACATGCAGGTAACTGCTTGTCAACCTACAGGAATACTTTGGGGTCGCATAAATAGCATCGGTGTAGATTGTTTAAAAATTGCGTCATGTTTCTCTTTTCTGTGTTCGTTGTTGTTGTTGTTTGTTGTTGTTGTTGTTGTTGTTGTTGTTGTTTGTTGTTGTTGTGTCTAGGGCCTGGAGAAGCACAAGGCGACGCAAAATCTAATCAAGGCCGCCAGGGAAGGCGACAGGTAAGATGACATAACATAGCATACCATGGGATTAGATGCAGTAAGATTTGATTAAATGCGATAAAGATGCCGTGACGTCAAGCTAGTTCATGTCAGAGAGAATCGGTTTGGCTGCAACGAGCTTGTCATCGTTTTTTTTGTTTGTGAAATGTGTCGACACGACAACAATAGCATTGGAGAGAGCGAAGGCCGGGAGTTTGGGTTGATTTCTTTGGCGTATTGTATCATGGGTGGCTGTTTTTTGTTTTTTTGCGGTGTTTTTTTTTTTTTTTTCGGGCAAGGTTGGTAGTATAGAGGTTAAATGAGTAGATTTGATATTGTGTCGTCGACAGCTCTCCTTGTAAAGTACGGTGTTCGCACGCTTGGTTGTGGGCCAATCGATGCTTCGCCCACACTTTCATGATGGCCCTGCATCTTTTCCGCAACTCAGAACTTGAACGACGATATTGTCCTGCGATGGCCGTGGATGACTTCATAGACCTAAGCGATCTATTCCGTCGTGCACGCGTTAATGACACTCTCATGTGTTGTTTCGGTAACAGTCAGTGCTACTGCAACCGGGAAAGGACCTTTGACATCTCTCTCCATCTTGATTTATATTCTTCCGGCGGCGGAGGGGGGAGGCGTAATGGTGTTTCTATAAGCGGGGACGGCAGGTGTATTGGCGGACGGCGTGTTGCGGCAAAATCTAACCCTAGTTTCCCCCAAACTATGAATGGCAGCGAGAGCGTTTCCTACTGGCTGGGAGCCGGCGCAGACCCGAACGGCCTGTCGAGCGACCAGCAGTTCACGGTCCTCACGGCCGCCATTACACACCGAAGGCGCGGGGTGATCAAGATCCTTCTCGAGGGGGCCTGGAGCGACATGGTGGACCCGAACAGGCAGATCTGCCCCAACTACGGAGTTGAGCGGTGAGCTATCGTCTGCCTCGAGTCACTCGTTCTGGGTGCTGAACGCCTCTAGCGCTACAAGTGCATGTCGAGGTTGTGGGCGCGTCTTTAGTCTACCCCGCCGCCAGATCAATCTGTTTTTTTAACCTCTGTTCAGTGGTTTGTAGCATACGTGCGAAAGTTTTTTTTGCCGTGAACCGAGTACGGGTAGGGAAACCAAGTGGATGAACATGTTGCTGATTTTCCGCATGTGGAAACGAATGTGTCTAGGTAGGTGAGGTAGGTGTGCGTATTCTCACGCTAGGATAATAACCACGTACTTATAAGGTGTCGCTGCGTGCGTGTACAAGCGACAATGGCAATAACAACCGACAATGAAATATTGTCAACGTCGCTTGTAGACGCACGCAGCGACACCTTATAACGTGGTTTTTATCCGAGGATGAGATTCGCCTATTGACCACCGCGGCAACCTCAAACAGGTTCTCAAAATATGCCGGTTATTGGTTCCTTCCCGACGTCCGTATGACTCACGGGCTCTCGACCACTTCTCAATCCAGCCAGCCGTGTTTCCGATTGGGGTTCTGTTCTCCTTCCTACCTTGCACCTGGAACAGAGGCCGGTCTGCTTTGATGGTGGCAGCCGCCATGGGCGACATGGCGACGGTTCTGTCGCTGTTGAGGATTCCCGGCATTGACCGGCGCCTCGCGTGCGCCAACGGGAAAGACGCCGTGGACTACGCCGTCCAGCAGGGTGAGAAAAAAGCGAGACCTGAAAGAGAGAGCTGCAGCGGGGGGTCTACGGTGGGGTTGGGCGGATTATGTTGGGGAATAGTAAATATATAAAAAACCATACTGATAATAAATTGGACGAACACATGGAGTATGAAGTGATTTCAGTCGGGCTTGATGATATATTTGGCGAGATGAGAGCTGATGGCTTTGCTCCGCTGTCTGGTGGATTACTGTGTTGTTTGCGGGAAGGAATCCGAGAGCACACAGTTTCTGACTGTACGTGGGTTGTTGTTGTTGTTGTTGTCGTCGTTGTTGTCGTCGTTGTTGTTGTTGTTGGTTCTGCTGCTTCCCTTGGTGCACCCAACGTTTTTCGTATCGCGACTCCCCCGCTCCCTCCGCCCCTTCGCACCAGGACACTGACAGGGGTGTTGGGTAGGGTGGCTATCAGTGTAAGTGTCTCGAAGAGTAGTCGGTGTTCGCCTTTGCGATGCCTTTGGAATGAATATTTCTAAAATAGACCCGTTACACACACCATCGACCCTATCCTGCCCTATCCTACCCTACCCCATCCTAATAGTCCAACGCCACTACACCCTCTTGCCTGGGGCCAGCGGTAGCCCTAACCCTGACCCTAAAAGTCCTAAACATTAACTACATTCGGCCAACCCTTACCTTGACCGCTCCGATTACACAAAACCAGGACATTTGGAGGTGGCGTCCGTGCTGCTAGCCGACCCGGCGAAGGCCACCCTCTGCCAAGCGGCGAAGGCCGGCAACCTGTCGTACGTCAAGGCCCTTCTCCTGCAGGGGCAGGACCCCAACCAGACGTCCGACTACACGGGGCAGTTCACGCCCATCATCGCGGCCGCTTTCCTCGCCCACATCGAGGTGTGTATGTATGCGATCGAGCGGCGCGTTGCGCAGCTTCGGTGTGCTTGGGGGTGTGGGTATGTGTGAGATTGCTGCTCATTTCGTTGCTTTAGTGATGCGTGCTTGCACAGCTAGACAAGATGACATGCGCCGGCAAGAAACCGCTTTGTGTGAACGTGTGGGAGCGAAGAGGACAAACGAATAAGTACGATTCAGGGCGTTGTGACGTCCATGTTCATGGAAGTAGTTGAGTGCCTGGCCGCAAACCAAACCATCCATTTTTTTTGTCTTCGATTCAAAGGAAGAAACGGATGGTTTGGTTTTCGCGCGGGCCCTCGACCACTTCGAGGAGGAACCTGTACTCACAGCACCCTGAATCCAACTCGCTCGCTTGTCCGCCTTTTTCTCACGTATTCACACCAACGAAATGCGGCGTTGCGCAGGGTTGGCGTGCAGACGTGGAGGGGCGTGGGGTGGTATGGTATGAGGTTGCTGCTGTTGTGTGATGCATATTGCACAGCTTTTGGAGACATAGCCAGCACCCGTTTAGAAATACCGGCAAGAAACCGCCTTGTGTGACCGTGTGGGAGCGAAGAGCACAAGCAAATACGTACGATTCAGCACGTGGTGACGTCCATGTTCTTGTAGTAGTCGAATGCCCGACGCAAACCAAGCCATCCATATGTTTTTCTTCGATTCCCAGAAAGAAAACAACGGTTTGGTTTTCCCTCGGGCACTCGACCTCTTCCAGGAGGAACATGTACGTGACAACACCCCGACTCGTACGTATTCGCGTGTCCTCCTTTTTCGCACGTATTCACACCAACGAAATGCGGCGTTGCGCAGGGTTGGCGTGCAGACGTGGGGAGGGGTGTGGGGTGGTATGTATGAGTTTGCTGCTATTGTGTTTGTGTTTTTTGTGTTCGTGCTTGCACAGCTATTGGACACGAGGCCAGCGCACGTTAGGAAATGCCGGCAAGAAGCCTCCTTTTGGGAACGTGCGGGAGAGAAGAGGACAAGCGAATAAGTACGATTCAGGGCGTTGTGACGTCCATGTTGCTGGAAGTAGTCGAGTGCCCGACCGCATACCAAACGATTCATTTTTCTTTTCTTCGGTTCCAAGAAAGAAAAGGATGGTTTGGTTGTCGTTCAGGCTTTCGACTACTTCCAGGAGGACCATGTACGTGCCAACACCCGGACTCGTTCGTATTCGCGTGTCCTTCTTTTTCTCACGTACTCACACCAACACATGAGGACGTTTGCTGAGCGTCGGTGTGCGCAAGTGGAGGGGATGTGCATGAGATTGCTGTTGGCGGGTTGTCGTTTTTGCAGCATCCCACCCTCGTTTGCACATTGCCTGTTCGGAGCATGAGATTGGTGCAACACGTCGCCTTTCCATGGTTGTGTGCCATCAGGTTCTAGAGTCACTCTTGGAGAGCCCGTTGTGCGATCCCAACCTGCCCAACGCCAGAGGGGAGACGGCGCTCATGTACTGCTCGCAGAGGGAGGGCTACGCTACTGGAGACACGCAGGTCAGACGTGTTTTTTTGGGGGGGAGGGGGGGGTTCGGTAGTGAACCCGTTGGTGATGCGGCTGTGGTCGTTTCTGCTCTATTGGTTGCGTGTTCCGTGTGCACATCTTTTCTCCTCCGGTGCTCGGATGTTTCCTCTAGCGTGTGTCGGTATCGAGAGCCATCGCATGAGTTCTACCATCATGGTTCTTCACATGAACTTGTTGCTGGTGTGCGGCGGTGTGCCAAGGTGGCGGCGGCGGTGAAGCTGCTAGCCAAGGGGGCAGATCGTCACCTCAGAGATCACGAGGGCAGGACGGCCATGGACTGGGCGGAGCGCTTTGGTAGCACGAGGCTGCTGGACGTGTTGCTCTTCGATCCCAATAAGGTGAGGGGACCTTGACCACTTGTGAGTGTGTCTCCGTTTTGCTCTCTCTCATGCATTATGTTTTATTTGCTCCAGCTGTCGGGTGGTGCATTAAGTTGCGCGTGTGTCTTGTTGAGAGAGGCTTGACTTTCTGTTGTCAAGTGTGTTCCACGGCAGGCACGAGCAACGAGCATGGCCATGGCCAGCCCCATGTCCGACAAGTCTTTTTGCCACTGTGCGAGAAGAAGAGAAGGAGGTATGCAAAATGCGATCTCTTCTTACATGCGAGGCAGCAATACAAGATGCTGAGAACGAACGTCTGACCGTGCACGTCAAATCATTGTCACGAAAGAGGAGGGGCAGGGGTGGAGAGAGAGAGAGAGAGAGAGAGAGAGAGAGAGAGAGAGAGAGAGAGAGAGAGAGAGAGAGAGAGAGAGAGAGAGAGAGAGAGAGAGAGAAACAGTAGAACGACCCATACAATGTCAGTGGTTGCCATTGCCGGATTGCCAAAGCGCGTATGCAGGCAAGCCTGGACGTCTTATTCTTCGCCGTTGTCGGCGTGCGTCTCCGCAGGTGAAGATTTTCCTGTTGGCGAGGGGGCGCGACGTCCGGGGTGTTCTGGCTCTGATGGAGCAGGGGGTGGACCCGAACACGACTTGCCCGGAGAAGAATTACACCCCTCTCATCGCCGCTGTCTTCAACCAGGTATGGGTGACTCCTTCTGCACACTCCTGTTTGTGGTGTCGTTGAGGGAAGCCGTGGCAACGCTTGACTTTTTTTTTTCTCTCTGTTGTGTTCTTTGTTTTTCGCTGAGGGTTCCGCTTGGGTATTTTGCACGGCTGTAGTGCCCAGCATTCACTTAAGGCTTCACGTCTTTCCGTACGTTGTCTATCGTCCACTTGCCCTATTTATTCTATCACGCACATCCGGTTCACTCCCTGGCCAACATACTTGCATTCACTCCCTCGTAGTGGTTTGTTCGCCCTCTCACGATTGCCGAAGGACAAGGACGAGGGCGCGGCGCCCTTGGCCCCCTCCTCTCACGGTCTCACGGCAGTTTTCAACCTTCTTGGGGTTCGTCGTGACAAGGTTCACCACCAAGCCTTGCTGATTTGCTCCCACTCACGATATCCCTCCTCAACGTTAACGGTGCTCCCCGCAACCTACACGGATACCCCTCCTTATGTTAACCGATACCCTCCCTCCCCCCTCCTCTGCTTTCAACGATACCCCTCCTACTCTCAACAAGGACGAGGACATGGCGTCGGCGCTTCTATCGCACCGCACGACCGACGTCAACGGGCCCGGAAGGCACGGCATGACCCCGCTCATGTACGCCGCACAGGCCGGGCACGACAGGATGGCCGTCTTGCTGCTGCGCCTCAGGGCCGACCGGTACCGGTGCAATGACCAGGGGGAGACCGCCCTCGAGATCGCCGCCGTGCGCGGGCACACGAGCGTCGTCAACGTGCTCAAGTGAGTCGAGGTCGCGCGCAAACCGAGGACGTATATGCCGTAGGTGACGTAAGGTTTCGCATCCTCTGGACAGATTTTCAGGGGTCGATTACTCCACCAAGATGCATGAATCAAGTCATGCGTGTTCGGAAAGATCTTCTAGGCGAGGCGGTTCTAACGCCGCCTTTTTCGGCACCGCTACTCCTTCTCCCGTGCAATACTCTAGCTATGATAACCGGTCCTGGGTTGTGTTATGTCTGATGCACCGTGTGGTGCATAGCCCGGTCGGAAAAATATTCCCGGATGTATGCTAAGTTTTGGCAACCAAGCAGCGTGACCATCACCAAGTGGTGCATCCCCCCCCCCCCCCCCCAGGACCGGTTA